TGTTGCGTTCATTCCGTGAATTCCGCTAATCGCAGGAGTAAGGTAACTTGTTGTAAATGAAACTTTATTTTTTATTTAATGATTCACTTCCAGCTAGGACGGTTCGTTCAACAGGAATTCTGTCGGAAAATGTTGCGAACCGGAAGCTAACTGTCCCTGTTATTTACTTGGACTAGGTCATAAGATATGTCAACCGGTGTACCGTTACTTCGTCGCTTTCAAATGAATGCGTTCCACTAAATAAAGGGACGTGAATCTGTTTGCCGAGAGGAGGAACACTTCGGCCTGTCTATTTCCGGGTCCAGTAGCGAGGGTGACAGATACACACTGGGCACCTCATAAACACACTGGAAAACTGCTACAGAATCGATTTCACCAAGCAGCGGCCGCAGCAGTAGCAGCAGCCGTAGCAGCAGGCTAAACGGGAGAAATGCTTTTTCGAACAGTTTCGCGGATCGTTCATGCCGTTGGCAGCGCGTTTATCCAAGCCCGTCTCATCCACAACTATCCGCGAGGGAACATACTCGTCTGTGCTTCATTCGCTTCGCATCAACCACCATGTTTTCATACTACAAGATAAATAGGTTTGCTTGAACTGAAAACAATCCACTTCCCGTACCTCGGGATCTCGGTTCGTGTTGTTTTTTCTGTTCCATGTTTGCACAACTGAATCAGGTGATTTCTTTTCCTTCAGACAGTGTGAAAAAGAAACATCTCAAGAAGAATGGCTCAATTGTTGATACACGCGCCCTCGCGATGACAACAACGACCAACCAGCAGGTATGTTTTCATCGTGCCCAGACAGGGCTGCCCCTGTGCACCCTTTTACAGTTGACACCGGAGCCCTATTTGTGGGTGAGGATAAATGGTTGGGCGTACAGGAAGCGGGGCAGTGAAGAATTCTGGGATTTTGACGTGGTGATTGTGTCTGGATTTGTTCACTTCGAAGTTCACATTCCTATCGAACCCCGTTGTTGTCGGATCAAGTCCATTTGAACTGATTTCTTTGGCTCTCTCTCGCGCTCGTGTTTGCGCGCACACGGTAGGTGTTATTCTGTGTTCTTGAGCCGTACAAATGAAGCTACCCGTTCCGGAATGGATACCTCACTTTACAATCGCTGACTGTGATGGATCGCGCGGATAAAAGTACACGACCCAAGACTGAACGACGGAGCATAGGCGGTACCGCGTGCGGTGGGATGGGGTGCGGGGAGGCGGGGGGTAGTTATGTGGTTACTAACACTATCAGTCCCAACTATGCAATTACCTATTTTGTTCAGGTTGATTCAATTGGTTGGGACTGTTCAATTTCATGACGATTTCGCCTCAAACGAACAGATACATACCTGACATTATTTCAGTCCCAAAACTACGGTTACCAATCCATATTCCAAGGTAGACAAATTACAAGAATAGCCCACGAAAAGACACACGTGATTTGTTACATGTATGGAAATGAATTGAGCCATACACTTTGGCACTATGATGGTTATCTTTGAGGGTCTAGAGTGTGCGTTTCATCAGTTCATGCGACAGGTTGTCGGTTTTCATTGCCTNCCCCCCCCCCCCCCCCCAGTGACCAAGAGGCTTTTCCATACACATCGCAGTTTATTGAAAAATAAATGAATAAAAGATATGTAATTCAGTACTCTCAGTTTGATCACACCGACACGGTTCTAATAAACAGATTTAGAGAACTTGAACCGTTATAAACGAGTTATACACTAAATTAGTCATTCAATCGATTGAACGTTTCGGAGTCGAACGTTGGTATAACGTAGGTGGCATCCGTGTGTGGGTTCAAATCCCACCAAAGCTATTGAACTTTTCACATTCTCTCTTTCTCTCTGTATATATATATATATATACATATATATAACAATACGTAACATATGAATGACTGGACAAAATTTCCCTGAGAGCACACGACCGGTTCTCTCCACCTGTCAGACACGCATACACGGTAGTCTTTTGCCATTTCCTTCATATACGTGTATCCAGGACATATATGTTCTTCATCACAGCCTCACTTGCAACACGGGGTAGATATGCTTGAACAACTATATATAGATATATATAAATTTTGTCAATTCATCCATATGCTACTTATTATGAAATATGAATCTGATTTATATTCATGATGACGTGAACTAATGCTCAAATTAGAATTTTCCGAGTGAACTTGGTACACCGAAAATGACATGTTTATCCCATCCACCTTGACTGATATTCCATTTGGATGATTTCTTGACAATTTTCAAAGTGAACTAATTTCGGTCTCCAGCCACGCAGTTTCAGTGTTTAGCGGATACAAACTCTCGATGATGCGGATGACTCAGCCAATGCAAAACTGCGCGATAACTAGGGTCAATTTATAGTTCATGTTTCACTCGGTATCAGTAGAATTCCCTCTAGGTGCGCTTTTTCAAAAATAAAAAGACAGATTTTTCTGACTTTTCGCAAGACTAACGAATAAACCTAGTCTGGTTTGAATTCATTTTCCAAAACGTCCAAAGACCCGGTGAACTGACACGTTTCCTGCTGTCGATCTTTATCGGAGATGTTATCCGAGAAATTTCCTTGTTCTCTAACTTCCGATATAGAAAAATAGCCACTGATTTGAAGAAAGAAAGAAAACAAAACACCTGTCTGATCACCCGATTAGTTTGCAACCCGAAGGAGCACTTCAGGTCAACAATAGCACATGATCTTTTCGAATTTGGCTGCTTTGCTGGACCCATCCATGCCACACAATCCTCAGGATGTTATTTATGCACGCACCCTAATTGTTCTATGTTTCACCTCTACTATCCACTTGCTTCCGCCAATTCCGGTGTCATTTTACTCGCCTAATTGGTTCCCCTTTTGGCTACCTAAATTGCTTTCTCCTCGGGGTGAGATCACGTGATGAAAATATTCTCCAAATCATTCCCCCTTCCCCCCCCCCCTCTCACGAGAAGATAGTTTGTGACGCTGATCGTCAATTCCCCCACTGGGTCCATGAATTCGGTATTCCACCGGACGCAGGGATTCGAATTCAGGCGTTTGTCTCGCGTGAAGCTGCTCCGGATCACTGGACTCTGTCTGACTGGAATCAACTGTGACGCTTTAGGGAAACCAAATTAGAGTTATCTGTTTCCCGCATCTGCTCACCTGTGTTAATTGTGGTCTTTTGAATGGTCAATATGAATTGTTCATCGCAAGGTTATTGTGTAAACCGCAAAGGTCGGAACCAGTCCTCGTGGACACATTCGGGAACATGCATCCGTTTGTACGGGGACATGATAAATGTGACATGACAGAAGAAGAGAAAAAGTAATTTATGAAGCACGTTCTTCTCGATGTATCGCCCCGGGGTAGAAGACACATTTTGGCTAAATGCGCATCCGCCTTTCGACCAAGACCAACTGGTGAGTAAGCAGAAAACAGAGCAAACGAGGCGCGCATGCGCGCGCGCGCGCGCGAGCTAGCGAGCGAGCGAGAATAGCAACAGTCAATGCGATAGAGAGACAGAGAGTCCTAGAAGGAGTGGTCAAAGCGATGTTTGGCAGAGAATAACCGAGAAAACAGGGCGTGCCCTAGGGCTGTGGTTGAGTGTTCTGTGCTAACGTAGGAAGAACGCAGCGATGTGATGGACCGCATAAACTATAAACCAAACACATAACGAACAACTGGGAGTAAAGTGACTTTTTATCAACATGAATAAGAGAAGTGAGAGTTGCGAGTATTTTTAAAATGTGAATTTCTTCCACACGAATTCATACATACAAACACACAACGAAACATTCGTTGACTTCTGATCCTTCCATCTGGATCATTTGATTGCCAAACCTGCCTTGCGAAAGGTTACCGAAACGTCGACCTACTCAATTCTGTACCGATATCGATGTGTTATTCACATTCATATTAAAACACAACACATGGCGCATCAGCATTTCGATACACTCCTAACATTATTTGATACTGATGTATCGATTTTTTCCCAATTTGGAACAAACAAATATTTCATGAATGATCACCGGTTACTAATACTATCGATTTGCTCTAAACTCCAGAAAGAGAGAAAGGGAGAGAGAACCGTGCAGAATTCTTCCGTTTGAGTTACGAAATCATTATGGACAGTGGTATTTTCAAGTCACAATGTAATAGGTGAACCCGGACAATGGACCAAATAAATTTGGATGAAATAAAAAGAAACGAGAATAACCACGATTTAATGACTTTAAACAGTTGGTCCCAGTGTTAAAGAGATAAAAAATATGTTTCAATTCAGCATGCGAAATGATCATCACTCATGAGAATACATACTAGGTATATATATATATAATGTACATATTAGATATGGCGTAAAATTTTATTTCGCATTCGTTGATCGTATCAGACATCAAGACATGTCATGTAAGACCATGCTCCCTTAGATGTTGAATCTTTGTTCTCAAATGTACCACAGCCGGAGACGGTAGACTGTATTTGTCAACACATTACTGAGCACAATATTCCGATCGAAATACCCGGTGAGAAAACTTAAAGAACTCATACTGAGATGTACTTGGAAAGTACAGTTTTTGGGCATTGGTGGTGGTGGCCCGGTGGTGGTAACACGTCACCAAATTATCACCCCCGAGGATCTGTGTTCGAATCCCATCACCACCACTGCCTGAATTTCCCCAATTGCATGTTGTTGTATCTTTGTATATTTAATAAAATGTAGTAAAAATGAAAAAAAGGAAAAGAAAGAAAAAATCAATCAATCAATCAAAATCAATCGACAGAAGGATTGTGTAGGGATGAGAACACCACTTGGCCCACTCCAGGCATATATATATATATATATATATATGTATAGCCAAGCTCGAAGAAGGACCATTGAGGAATGCAACTGACAGTCTAGATCTATGCACCAGATATANTACGGATGGTACGTTCATCATTTTTGAATCCTTAACGGACATTAATAAATTAATTCCAGTAATCAGCAACTCTCATCCGGGTATACGATTTACAATGGATATAGGGAAAGACAACTTTTTTGCCTTGCTGGTCATTGGTCTTCGACGTACAGACGAGGGCTATATTGAAAGAACAGTATACCGTAAACGCACATGGGTTGGACAATACACACATTTTCAAAGTTCCGTCCCACTGAAATACAAACGTAATCTAGTGAACTGTCTAGCGTACAGAGCAAGGAGAATTTGTAGTCGGGGGACCTTGTATGAAGAGCTGACCCAGATAAAAGATATCCTCAAGAAGAACGGACATCCCGAGGCGTTTGTGCTACCATATATATGGAATTAAAACCAAACGATGAATAAACGCAACTGGCTAGAAAGAAGGTGTTTTTCAACGTTTCTTTCTAGGGAGACGGTATTAGAAATCATGGAATATCGGCTATCTAAAGCCATTGCCAACCGTTTTCCCGCGGTGTAATTAAGACAGTCATCGAGAACTAAGCCGTTCATTGTTCAACAGCTTAAGGATAAATTGTCTCACCAGTCCCACTCATTTGTTCTAAATCAGTTCACGTGAAATTGTAGTGATCGGTATATCAGACACACATCGAGGCGTCTGTTTGGCCGCTCTTCGAAAGGGAACGGTGAGAAGCTGGAACAGCTCAATAGTGCAACATTTGGTCGACAGACGACACGGGATTGAAACAGAAACAACATTTACAAGTTTCTTCACCGCACCAAAGAACCACACCAAAGGATTACGTAAGAAGATCCTGACAACTGCGGAATCTAGAGCAATTAGGATCATGAAGCCCGAGTTGTGCAAGCAACGTAATCTGGTTCAAGCACTGCTATTACCACACACTTTCAAACCTGTTTCTCTCTCTCTCTCCAGACTAACACACTTTTCATATCATGTCCAATTTACACATTTTTCACCCGGATTTCCTCTAATCCAATTATCTTGACCCCACAGCTTGTTGTCAACCAAACATTTTGCACACAGACATTCATTCATTCATTCATTCATTCAACATGAGCCTATGCCTTTTATTATTATTCTACGGACTAATCGTATCATATATGTAAATTCCTGAAACGATATATCAAAAAAAAGAAATTTGTTTGCATTTCGATTTTGTTCTTGGGCATAAATGGGAATGTTTTACATATTAAGTTGTTGCATAAGTTCCCGTCGTTACATGAAACTATTTGTTCTACAAAAACTTTTCAATGTCTGACAAAGGGTTATATACCATTAGAAAGCCCGTACTATACTCTACAAACTTAACTGATCGTTTTTTGACCACATAATGTTTTGTCATTTTTAGCACTGTTCAATGGATTGTCAAGTGGACAAAAGATCGCACTTTTGACATCTCCTTCTTTTCACCTTTAATCGAGGTCAAAAAGTGAGTAAAGCTACCATAGATATTTGTTTCGTGTATGGACAGAACGCCATAGTTGAGATAACTGCTCGGGATTGGTTTACTAGGTTCAAACACGATAATTTCGACCTCAATGACGCTATTCTTGCCGGAAGACCAGTCGAAATGGACGAAGATGGATAGTGATAGAACTCATGCGGCATGACTAACAATTTGGAAATACCTTTCAGTTTCTATAGTATCATACCTGTATGTTGATAGCTATAGGTTAATAGTATTAATTCCGAACCTTTCGGATCTTCCATTACAATATTCTTCGTTTTCTTGCGTCACCGTTTGAATTTGCCCAACCTCGAGTGTGTCATGACATAAATTTCTCAATAGTTCGGAATTTACAGCTCGAAATTAAAAAAAGTGTTTGATGCAAAGCAGTAAACAACCGAGGGCAACGGATATGAAGCCATGATTGTACGCCAAACAAAAGAGAGCACGTATTGGTTTTACCGAGAAATTAAATGCTGAGCCCTTTGTCTTTGTGGGTCTCCCTTAGATGGGACTCTGGAAAGAGCAAAATTTGTTGACCTGTTGAAACAGGTTCTCGATAACTGTCACGTTCGCGATGCATTCGTAAATAATATATACTGTCACATCTCGCTCGAGCTGGGTCTTATAAAACGTGACTTGTTCACAATTTTACAGTCTCTCGATAGGTCAGTTCCAATGTGGATCACCGTCCTACAGTTCAGAGTTGAATGCAATCTAAAACATTTCACTGTGTTAGAGACATGCGTAAGTTAGCTACCTCGCTAGTGGTCATCAGTAACCAGGGGGTGGGAAGCATACACGAGAGGAAAAGGACAAATGCGACTGAATTGTCAATTTCGTGCAAAAATGATCGGTTCTAGTGCGCCAAACTGAAGACGGACAAACAGGGTATTGGAAAAATAAATTTGCCATACCTGTGTCATATTTGCAAATCATTTTTTTATAGATGAACTCTAATGAGATGTTAAGTACTGAGATTTTGTTATCCCACAACTGGATGGATGGATGCACCAACAGCTGTTAACAAAATCGAGAATTCGTTGGTGTTTAGAGTATTTAAGTAAAGGGAAGAAGAATTAGGCAATTACTGATACGGACATCACATTCAATCTCGTGAATGAGACTCAAAACAGGAGGCGCTAGGGTTTGAATAGGGAGGCCAAAAACACAACCTTCTGGTTGCCAACACCGTCGGTGAAAGAACCGCTACAACGCAAAATTTAACTATATCTATCACTTCAAGTGTGGAGGCTCAACTAGCCGTACATCGGCACAATGCAGAGACAATTGAGTCACAGAGTAGCCAAGCCTATCCCGGTCTTGTTTGCTTCCGAAATCAACGAATAAAAACTGTCAAAGTATGATTTCACCGATGACCTGTAGGAAATTCAGTCTATCCATCACCTTTTCATGCCAAGTGACGCGTTGAGAATCCTTAAAAAAAACAAAATTAAAACCCGGGTTCTGAAACATGCCGAAGTATCAATCATTCAAAATTACTGTCCCCAACAGTGTGAATGGTTTCTCACTCCGGGCGTTTTGTGAGTAATTTTGACCGCAATATTTCTGCGTTTATGATTCTGTTATTTCGGACCATATGATAATGAGCACATGAGCCACAGTGTGTCGTGAAATGATTCGGGATACATTGTGCAAGCCCTTTTTTCACTTCTCTGCTCAAACTGGTTACGGTGAAACTGTGAATCAACGTTT